CTCCAACTAGAAACTCTGAACAAGATTCTGCTATAAGTCTTTCAAGATCTTGATTAAGTACTCTATATGGATCATTACGAGGTGTGTCATGATCATTATGAGTAAACTTGCACTGTACATTGTCATTTGTGTAAAGTGGAAGACAGGCAGAGCATCAAGCCAACATCAGACAACACAACATATTGGTGAACTGGACTACAATAGCTCCGGAAGGGGTGTCTGCCATGACTATGGAAAAGGATCATAAGTTGGATCCTGACATCATGCCCATTTATGTTGCTGTGCTAGAGGGGAAAAGACGTCACTTCCAAGAAATTGTCCACTACAGCCAGAAGACAAGGGCGCTTTGGCATTATTTCAATTCACTGTTCATATATGGTCAAGTGCTATTCAGAAGGCAGAAACATTGGTCTGGAGATCCACAGAAGTCTGAAGCAGTTTTGATTTTACCTCAGAAGCATGTGAAGGCTACTATTATGGCATACCATAGCCAGTTGCGACAAACCAATCATTTTGGTATTCAAAAAACCATGTCGGCTCTGAGAAGATTCTGTTGGTGGCCAGCAATGCAGAATGATGTTGTTGAAGCGCTGACTGGGCGCGTTCAATGTCGGAAGGTGAAAGGACCCCTAGAAAAGACAAAAGTTCCACTTAAGATCTTTCATGAAGAATATTACATGGACGTTGGCATGTGGACACTTGTGGCCCTTACCCAGAAACGTCGGACAAGTACAAATATATTCTGGTCGCAGTGCAAGCTTTCTCTGCCAGTGCAAGTCCCATTGAAGACATTGACAGCCAGGGAAATGGCTCAAGCACTAATCACATGTGTTCTCTGCACTGTTAAAAAAATTCTGAAAATTCAGACCGAAAGTGTCAGACTTGTCCGTCTGAATTTCGTTTTCAGACTAGAGTCCTAATATTTGGACCGCCGGTCTAAAAATACGGACCTTGTAGTCTGAAAAAAATTTCAGACGCGGCGGTCTGAAAATTCAGACTTAACAAGGTTTAATAATTTGCCCTGCGAGTCTGAACGTAGAATTCAGCGTCCGGTCTTAATTTTCTGCCCGACTCGTCTGACTCCCGCCCCCTCTCTCTATACGCTGCTTTAATCGGACTGCCCCGAAGGTAGCACCTTGAGCCCCAGAGTATCCCTCTTTATAGCGCTCTGGGAGCACCTTGACCAGCTAAGCTAGTAGGCCCGAAAGCGATCTAGTTTGTCTCGGACTTGTTCGGCTGAGTCCGTTCGGCACCGAGCAGGGCCGAGCACCAAGCCGAGCCCAGTGCAGCGGCCGCAGGACTGTCCCCGCCGGTGCATTCTCGGAAAGTCCGGTGAGGCAGGGCCGGCTGGAGGAGGTCTGAACCGCCGCACTGCCAGTTACTTGCCCGCTCACAAAAGACAAGCCCCATCGTTAGTACTTCGTTAGTAGATGTTAGTACTGCAAAAGACGTTCAATAGTACCAAATCCATACCAATTTTTTTTTAAAAAAAACATAGACAGTGCACATTCACACAATAGACACTGCGTCAAACAGCAACATTATCCGAAACAGCTCTGACCCATTAAAACACGTTAGTACAAGTAAGTACCGCGCTAAAATCAAAGCTGCCGCACAGTCACGTACCGTTACCGA